TGTTCGCATCAACCAACAGCTGGACACGAAGCAGCCCAGGCAGTACTTCATTGGTGTGCTGGACATTGCTGGCTTTGAGATCTTTGATGTAAGGAACACAGAAATCACAGGATAATCTTGAAAAGGCAGTTAGGCATCAACTGAAGCTGGAGGCTTATTGTAGGGGTTTTTTTTCAAACATTCCATTCACTTGCAATTTCAAACTAGTATTGCATTACTTGGAAAATTTGTTATTTTCTGGAAATGTTTTCCTTCCTTGTATATGTCAGTGCTTTTTCTCCAGAGCAATCTGTGAGCTTCAATGGATCTTCGTTTAATAGCTTTTTGCGATACACAAGGAAGAAGCATCTGCCTTTTATATAATTAGCACAAATCTTGCAGTTTTTCAATAATTTGAACTTATTATTAAAAAGATTCACTGACAAATAATGCATAAATATCCAAGATACAATATTACAGAGTGTAAGAAGAGAAAGGTAGACTTAAGTCTCACACCACAGTTTGCCAAGGCTTTGGAAAAAGAGAGCAATATATATCCTTTGCTTCTTAAGAGTCAAAGGGTGATTCCATCAGGAAGAGTGCATCAGCTGTTTTAATTGAAACTGAGAAGTTCTATAGACATTTGTGAAATGTATCTGAATCCAAGACAGGAATGGGAAACACTGGCAATGTCTAACTTTTTTTGTTAGGGTAACAGGAAAATGCACATAATATGAGGAAAAAATAGTGATGTAAATTGTGCCTTGATAGGGATAAGACTACCTAATAATTTGGGAATTTTATTTAAAAATAAATAATATATTTAAACATCATCCAAATAGCAAAGAAAAAAAACCAAAGCAAAAAAAAACCCCCACCAACCAAATAAAAAACCTTCAAAAATAGTTAATTGGATGTTTTAACATTAAAAAAATATTTGTGTTAATTGGGCATCCCTGCATGGGTTTCTGAGATGGGATTCTGAGTGCGAAGAAGAAAACTATACAGGGAGCCCTTCCTCTGGAGAATAAGTAAATCTTGTCTTTGCATTGTCTTTGGGCAGTTCAACAGCCTGGAGCAGTTGTGCATCAACTTCACCAATGAAAAACTGCAACAGTTCTTCAACCACCACATGTTTGTGCTGGAGCAGGAGGAGTACAAAAAGGAGGGAATTGAGTGGGAGTTCATTGACTTTGGGATGGACCTGGCTGCCTGCATTGAGCTCATTGAGAAGGTGTGTTGATTACATTTAAGATTTAGTTACCTTCTTTGTGACAGAATTTCAGGATTTTTCTTTAGCCTTACTTTTTCTTGCTCTAATGCTTCACAAACCTATCTATTATTATCCATTTATGTTTCTGGCTCTTTCTATTTGAAGTGTCTTTTTATTTCAAATATTGCATGTATTCTGAAAGTAAGTTCTAAGCACCTTTGTAATTAGGCTACAAATGAAGTACCTTTAGGTTATCCATTAACTGCACTGCTATGCATTTTAAAAAAGCTAACTGTAATTTTTCTTGTATGGCAATAGAAGAATTAATGTAATCACACATAATTGGATGACAAGGATTCTCCGTAGGTTTGTTTTCTAGACTACAAAGATGAAAGATCTCTTTTGAGGAATCTAGACACAATTTCAATATTATGATTTCCATATTAATACTATGATTTCTGAAACATAATTTCTAAGAAAAATAATAGATGCATACAGAAAAAAGTACTGATTTAACAGGGATCAATAAAAACATCACTATAAGCAGACACTGTTTTTGAGTAACATCCTCTTGTATAGGAACAGAAAGACAGATATATTTTCAGAAAAACAAGAGTAGGACGTAGCTGAAAGATCTGTTAATCTGTGGCAATAAGGTCAATTTTAGTAAGACACCTTTGACTATACAAATCACAAAACGTTAATGTAAAAAAAAAATCATCTTTCAATTCATCAGTTTCAAAATTACTCAGAAAATGTTGTTTGATTATTGTGACACTACCAGTCACGAAATGGATTAGTCAGACACAAATTCACATTTTGTCTGGAACCAAGAGTGCAAAAGTTGACAAAGATTTGATCCATTTTTTATCCGAAAAATCCATTAATTTCTCAGTTTCCTGTGTCTCCCTGCAGTCCCCTTCTGAAGGCAGATCCGTATTTTATCATTGTTATTTTTTGTTGCTTCCCCCAGCCCATGGGCATCTTCTCCATCCTGGAAGAGGAGTGCATGTTCCCCAAGGCAACTGACACCTCTTTCAAGAACAAGCTCTATGACCAGCACC